ACCCTATGAAGCTGAACACACTGCTTGTCATGGCAGAGTATGCCCTATAATAAGCACCAGCTATCATAAGACTCTGGACAATTTCACACTCTTAGAACATAAGATCAGCTGCCTCTGCCCCCAGGGTCCCTTGTCCTCATCCCTGTCATCACTAACCTAGCTAATGAGGTTGGAGGAAAAGGACACTGAGAACCACCCTTCCAGAGAAGCGCTTTCCTCCCAGTTGTCTCAAATGTGCTACCACCGAGTCATTTCTTCTAGCATGTTCTTTCCCAATATAGAACTCCTGGCAGGGGTAGTGTCATCATCTCTGAAGACATGGGAACAAGCCAGTCCACTGGGCACAGAAGAGCAGGAGGAAAGATGGCTGAGAGGAGAGACAGCAACAGCCCTGGGTTGACTGGGAATGAAAACATCAAAAGAGCATCAGGTCTCTGGAAGGAGCCCCAAGATGCTGACAGGAATGGTGCCTTATAGAGATGGGGAGTACAGCAGGATGACCAAAGCAACTTTTCATTAACATCTTTTGATATCATTTGAATTTGGCATCAGCCACATGGATTACCTAATCAAAAAATACTAGCAACCTAGACATTGAGACACAGATTTATGAAGCCAGTAGAAGGCTGAGGGAGGATTGTGAGCTATAGGCTAACCTGGGCAACACAGCAAGAACCCATCTCAAAGCAAAATAAAACAAGATAAGGATTTAGAGAACCAGGAAGGGAGGAACAATGTTCTGTCCCCACAAATCTTCAACCATTCTGACAGGAGCTCCCAAAAGCTCATGCATAGTCGAGGGTCAAGGTCAGAGACTGCATGCCCCAAGATCTCATTAGCTGCCTCTGGGAACCATTCAGGGAGGGCACAGCTTCCCTGATGTCAGCACCTCTTCCACACAGAGGTGTAAAGTCCACAGTGAACAGAACAGGGATGGAATATCTTCATCTTACTGCTAGACACTGACAAGCTATTTCTGCTCCATCAGACAGAACCCAGCAAAAAGCCAAGGAAGAAAATCCTGTCCCAGGACCTGCCATGAAGCACACCACACAGGTTTTCCCTGAAGGTTGGGAGGATTGTGCACATTTCCCAAGAAAGCATCTAAATCACTGTCATTGTCCCTAAACATCACTAAGCACCATCCACCAATTTTCCCCTTTAAAATGTTACTACATTTTGTGGGGGGAAGGGTTGTTTGTTTTTAGTTTATTTCCTTGTTAGTGTTTTGAAATAGGATCTTATTCTATAGATATGAATGACTTTAAACTTACTATAAAACTGGCCTCAAACTTGCTGCAATCCTCCTGTCTCTGCTTCCCAAGTGTTAGTGTTATAAGTGAGTGCCACTATACCCAGCTAAAGGTCACTAGATCTTGCAGTTGGAAGATGTTAAATTGAATTATGCCCCCTCCAAAGCCAACTGAAGTTCTAACCCCAGAATCTCTTGGGGTGAACTTATTTGGAAAAGGGTAGTCATAGATGTGGTTGGTTGAGACCACAGTGGAATACCATGGACCCTAAATTCAGTCCAACTGGTGTCCATTTAAGAGAAGACCCAGAGACAAGAGAAGATAACTGTGTGACCACAAAAGCAGAGGCTGGAATGCTTCAGCTATAAGGGAAGGATACCTGGGCTCAGCAGCAACCACTAGAAGCTGAAAGACCAGGTCATCACCCTCTGAGTTCCAGAAAAGGAACCAGCCTTGCTCATGCCTCAACTCTGGAATTCTGATCTACAAACTTCTGAGGGAATACATTTATCTTTTTTAAGGCACCCAGTTTGTGGCACTTTGTTACAGCTAGGTGCACCAAGAGGCTGACACAGCCCATCACTTGGCTTTCCTTCCCAGCCACCCGTGCCTGAACTCTTCTGCCCAATGGTCAGCTGCCAGCTAGCTGCTATCTCTAATCAGAGAAAACCAATTCAGTGTCCCTCTCAGTAGCACGACTTCCCATCTTGCAAGGCTCTGACTGAAATAAACAGCCCCACAGCAAATATGTTTTGAGTGCTTGCTACAAGCTAGTCACTATTCTGGTCCTATTGATGCAAGCAGTGAAAATGAAAAGATAATAAAAATATTCTCAAAGAAACAAAGTCATTTCTAATACAGATAAAGACTAGTACAATATGCTGCAGGAAGTCGACTGGGGACCAGGGCAAATAGGAAGATCATTTTGACCATTAGGGAAGATCTCATTTAACATGTGATATAGGAGTGGTGACCTGAATGACAGGGAGGTGGCTACTACAGGGAAATCTGGAAGGAGGAACAACCAGAGTACAGGCTCTGTGGCACAGCGAATGAGGCACGCTTAAGGAGGGATCTCTGGGAGCTGCTGACACTGGAGAAACAGGTGAGATTAGTCAGTACCTGTGTCACTACCTGGCAGCCCAGGGAAAGTTCATCCTGAGAGACCGTGGCATTCTCCAAACTGCAGCCTTTCCAACTGTACTGTTTGTCCTTTGCTTCTTGGGACCTTACCAATAACAGTTCTGAATGTTCTGTAATTCTGGCCATCGAGATGTTCCTGGCTCACCAGCCCTAATTCCTGCACCTCAGTGAGTACTCTGCGTGGCTTCCTATGACCTTCATGAAAAGAACACAGTCTCTGAGGCACGCAACAAACAAAACCTTCCAGGCCAGACCTTGGCTTTGATACACGTGCCCAAGACTGTCTTGGCCTTCAGTCTGGCCTGAACCACTGGCCTGCAGAGACAGACACAAGGCAGACCCCAGCAGTCCTGTGGTGATGCCCGGATTTGGAGAATGGGATAAAAAGCTTGTTCTTCCCTAACAAGAACAGCTGTGTATGCTAAAAATAGAAAAAAAAATGCCACGAAACCTCAAACAATGCCATGTACAAAATCTAGGTGAGACCAGCAGAGCCAGCAGCAGCTGCCTGGATTTTTATGTTTCTCTTCCAGGTGGGAGACGAGAAGAAATCATTGGTGCACGTATCCCTGGAACGTCCGTGCTATCTTGCGTCATAACTGAGGACACCTGGCCTGTTTGGAAACACTGGGCACTTGAGCAAAGATGCTCTGCAAGGCACTTCCTACTGGCTTTCTCAAAGCCTAGAAACAAATCTGAGTTGCCACAGAGTGTGTAGAGAGTGGTAACAGTATGGCGAGCCGGCTGGCTGGTCAGCCAGGCTGAATGTCAGTCAGGCAAGGAAGGCAGAGAAGGATGCTCCACTCAGTACCACCCCCAGCCCAGCAGGAGGCAACATCCACTCAGACCCATCTACTGTCCTTAGGTGGTGAGGTACTATACGGTCAGCACTTTTAGCAACCAAGTTATTGTGAAGCTTTCTTTGCCTCCAACAGTTGAGTGGCCCTGGATAAGTGAGTCTTGGTTTCCTCATCAGGAGGAATGCCATCTGCCACTCCCAAATTAATGAGGATGAACTAAGAGCTCCTGTTGAAAGTACTTTGTAAGCTACCAAAGCAAGAGGACACAGTGGCAGTAGAAGCCACACTGCTATTGCTGTTCCTTCCTGAAGCGCTGCCATTCTGCTTTTGATTCCTCTTTTTTTGACTGGGTTTTGTTATACAGCCCAGGCTGGTCTTGAACTCATGATACCTGTGCCTCAGCTTCTGGGGTGCTAATATTACAAGCCTATGCCACTGTACCCGGCTTTTGATATTTCATTTTTTTAGGCGTTGTTTTTATTATTTAATGTTGGGTCTGTATGTGAGTGTAGGTGTTTGAGGAGACAAGAAGAGAGTGTCAGATTCTGAGGAGACAAGGTTACAGGTGGCTGTGAGTCAGCTAAGGTGGGTGCTGGGAACTGAACTCTGGTCCTCGGCAAGAGCAGAACATGCTCTTAACTGGAGAGCCTTCTCTCCAGTCCCCTGACATTTCTTTTAACCTCCTGTGAAAGGAATGCAGAGAATGGAGGGAAGGAAAGAAAGCCAGGTATCCAGGTATACCCGCCACCAGGTATCCACATGACTTGCCCACTCTATAGTTTCCCTGGGGAAGGGGCTCTCCTAAAGGCAGCTCCCTCAGCACCATTTGGGGTCACTATAAAACAACTTACCTTTGAAGAAACAACCATTGCCATGAAGGTAAAAGTGCAGTTAGCATCTGTAGAGATATCTCACTTCAATTTCTCTCAGACTTCTGATATGCCCATCTCACTGCTTATACTTGTGACATTCTCAAAAAAAAAATCCACTCCACATGATCTGATACAGACTACCAAAAGCCAACCATTGCAAGGAACTTGTGGAACGCAACAGAGACTGAGATAGCCCATCATCACCAACCAAGAAGTCACCAGTGTTTGAGGAGGAAAGAAAATCTCCGATGTCAACTTTTTCCATGGAGCCCACCTAATCAGCTTATCTGCCATCTTGGTCTTCAAAGGCCTAAATATCCCTATTTCTGACCACAGTGGGAAAGAGGGAAGGGACGAGGCTCCGGAGCCTCTCTGCTCCTGTCGTGGAGTTCGTGCTGTGGGTCTGCCCTGTTTTCACGATCAGGGAGGAGGCAGAACGGGATGAATCAGAACCTCAGCATCGGGTTACAGGCTGGATCCCAGCCTGGGGAGGGCAGCCCGACTTGACAGCTGCCAGCTCACCTCTACCTCTGACTCACCACCCGGACAGCTCCACGTCGGGGACCCAGCCCGTGCCAGCGCACCTGTGCCGGCAGAGCCGCGCTCCCGCTCACGCTGTAGGTGCAGCACTTGGCCGAGCCTCCTTCCTCCGCCCTGTCACCTTCCCACGTCTCAACCCGCAACTCGGGGGAGGGGGGCGGGGACGGGGGACGCAGACCAGGGCAAGGCTGGGTCGGCTTGTCCCACATCCTAGAAGCTGCTGCGGTGCCCGAGCCTTCCCTGGCGGCCCCGTGCAGCCGTGGCCTCAGACCAACTCGCGGCCCCCGGCGGGCCCCGCACTCAGGTTGGCGGAGTGACAGCCCTGCCCGCCCCACCGACCGTCCAGCCGACCCGCCCACGCCGCCGGCGACCCCCTCCTCACGCTTCCTCACCCGTCCCCGCGCAGCCACGCCGCCCGGCCCCTCGAGAGCGCAGCACCGCAGCCCCGGACCCTCTCACCGCGGCGGCCCGCGGGACCCGGCAAGGGGCGGACACGCCGTCGGGTCCGCAGCTGCCGAGAAAGCGCCGCGCTCGACGAGCCGTCCCCGGTCCCTTCTGAGGCGCGGCGGAGCGAGCTGTCAGTCAGAGGGGCTCTCCCCGCCCCTTTGGCACCACGTGACGTGCGGAGCAGCCGGGTCCTTTGGAGGCGCTGTCAGTCATCCGATAGCGCCCCGCCCAACCCCGCCCCCCCCCCCCCCCCATCCCGCGTGACGCGCGAGCTGCGGGGTTCTCCCGAGCCCCGGAGTGAGAGGGGCGCCCCGCCTCTGGAGCACCACGTGACACGCGAGCGAGCAGTCTGGTCCTTCTGAAGCTACGAGAGAGAGAGCTGTCACTTTGCGGGGAGCGCCCCGCCTCCCTCGGCTCCTGGACGCAGGCGCAGGAGCACCCCTTCGTCCCTGTGCAGCCTGACAGCCGCGCGGGTTCGCTTCGGAACAGAGTTCCTGCAGGGATGACCAGGGCGCGGCTTTTTTGAGCGCAAGAGTGGTTTAGGAAAGGGAAAAGCTCCTCCAGGTCAGGTTCAGGTCACTTCCTGACCCTGCCTGGGTAGCAGAGTCCTAGCGAAGATCCCCTGGACCGACACGCCTTTGAGGCTAAGTCCGTTTGTCTTCTGGAAGGCGTGTCTTAAAAGGCCGGGAGATTTGGCTCTTTTCATAAACGGCAATAAACACAACGTCCAGCCATACAGCTTCTCCCACATCTCTTCAACAGGGAAACACAAAGAGGCTGGGGGTGGAGCTCAGCGGAGGATCACTGGCCCAGCGTGGCCAAGGTCCTGGCTTCCATGCCCAGTGCCAGGAAGGAAGAGAAAAAGAAAACCAAGGCCGATCTCTAGGGATCTTCTGAAGTCACGAATGTTAGGCAGTGGGACTGGAGTTCTGCTACTCAGGAAGATGATGTAGGTAGTGTAGCCAAGCGCTGGCCCTTTGCTAATGGCAGATGTGAACATCTGTTCCGCTAAGACTTCTTAGGAAAATTTAAGAGCGAGGAAAAGATTGAGAGCTGCCGTTCCTGGAGAGTTTGGAACCTTCAAGGTGCACGTAGCCACCCCAGGAGAAGCTAGACCTCCTGGTGTGAGAACTTAGTGCCAGCTCTGGAGGTGGGAGGGTAGGTTGTAGCCTTCATCCTTGTGAGGACGCTAAGATAAGTAGGTGTTCAGAAAACTTGCAGGATGGAAGAGGACAGTTGCCGGGGTTGAAGTTCCCTGCTTCCGTGAAGGAAGCTGGCAATAGGTACCAACTCCTGCAGCCTTGACCTCACATGGACAGCTGTTGGGGAGAACTGGAATAAATCATTGAGGGTCATATGCCATGTGAGAGACATCATTCTTTCTCAAGAGATTCAGCAGCACCCTGCTTGCCTTCCACGAAGGCCTCTGACCTCAGGAAATTGGACAGAGGCAGATGACATGACATTTTGAAATGAGGAAGAACGTTCTGCAAGCCACAGACCAGTGAACTTGGTATCACCCTGGGAAGCATTCGGGGCAGATGGCTCAGAAAACATCTGTGACCCCTCTGAAAATGAAGCCCCGAGACGTGATAGGCAAGGAGAACGAAAGGGACTGAGGCCGCATTCTCTGGCAGTCAGGATGCTCCTTTTCAGGTAAACATCCTTGAGTCTGCAGATAGGTTATCCATTTTATCAGACTAAGGTACCATAGACCTTTCCTGGTTGCCACACATGGCACTAACAAAAGGTCTGCACCTTCAAAAGACCCTTGTTTCTTCATGCTATCATTTACATTCCGGTGTTACACTACTCCATGGGCTTTTCCAGAGGATCATGGGAATATCCTAAAAGGGAGATCTGTCCAATCATAACTCAAGAGGGGAAAAGAGTCACCATACCTCATAAATGATCATAAGATCAGATGGACAGGGTGGCACACACCTTTAATCCCAGCACTCGGGAAGCAGAGGCAGGCTTTGAGATTGAGGCCAGCCTAGTCTACAGAGCTAGTTAGTTCCAGGAGAGCCAAGGCTACACAAAAAAAGCCTGTCTCAAAAGGAACAACTAATAATAACAATCATAAATTCTCCCTTTAGGAAATCCACAATGCAGACCCACTGGGGTGGCTTCTTTCTTTGGGACAGCCCACTCTAATCTTTGCTGAAAACATTTTTCTTTAAACTGTCCATGTCTCCCAACTAAATTCTTTCCTTTGAGAAGACAAGGATAGAGAGAGCCTTGTAACAGCAACAAAGTCAAAGACCCCGTGATGGCTAGTTTGGTTTATTTCCTGTTGTGAACATACAGATAAGGGGGTGTGGTGGGAATACCATCTCCAGCCAAAGGGGGCATGGCTAGCCTTGGTTGTCAGCCTGCTTGGGTCTGAGATCAACTGAGAGTCAAGCCTCTGGCCAGGTATGAGAGTGTTTCCCGGAGAATTTACTTAGGAGGGAAGCCCCGCCCCCTAGGGTGGGTGGCATCTTCTGCCTGGAGACCCAAAGAGGCAGAGTGCAAAGCAATGCTTCCTTTGCCTACCACCTTTGCCCCTTACTGGTGAGCACATCTATGGCATTGCTGCCACCAGCCTTTGGCAACATCAGAACCCAGCTTCTTTGGCCTTCTAACATGGACTGAAGACCAGCAGCCTTCAGGGGCACACCGGGACAGCTAAGCCATCCAGTCTCAGGGCCTGGACAGCCACCAAGTTCTCACACTCACCAGTTTGCAGGTGGCCACTGTTGGATACCCAGGCATTATCATGCAGGGCAGCCTCATAAACCTCTTTTGTAGCACATATTCTGTTCCGCTCCCCTGAAGAACCCTCACTGATAGAACAGACCTGCCTGGATTCTCCTCCTTATAAGCAAGAAACTCAATTCAAATTGTCCTTTTGAAGAGGGATCTGTGATTTCTGTGACTAGATAGCTCTGAGGCAGGCCCAGCAGGATCTGGGGGTGCAAAAAAATGTCACTAGAATTTATTTCTTCCTGGCCTGCCTGTGCTAGCTAGTTATATGTCAGTATGACACAGCTGGAGTCATTTGGGAAAAGGGAATCTTGGCTGAGAAGATGTCCCCACCAGATTGACCTGTGGGGCATTTTTTTGGGTTGATGTGAGAGGGCCCACCTCATTGTGACACCCCTCACCCCAGGCAGGAGCTATAAAACAGTAGGCTGAGCAACCCATGAGGAGCAGGCCAGGAGGAATCAGCCCTCCGCTGGGGTTTCTGCCTCCAGGTTTCTGCCCTGACTTCCTTCAGTGATGGACTGTGTCTGTCACAGCAACAGAAACCCTAGCCAAGATACTGCCTAGAATGACTTCCTTCTCGGATTAGGCACTTTTCACAGAATGGTCTCGAGCAGTTCCACGATCATCTCTCTATATACTTATACTCAGTGACCCAGTGGACAAAAGGGGTTTTTCTTTTGATTCTTCCAGCAAAATCCCAGAATTTGGGAGTACGCCATCCTTAGAGCTAGTCTCTGAGGCCAGTTTACCAAGATAACTAACTGGATTGGACAAATCTGAAGAGAGGCTGGGCCAGCCCCATCATGCCAACTGGTACAAGGAAAAGGTGACTTCCAGGACACAGAAATGCTTTTGCCAGAAGAGCGGGAAGCAACAGGTATCCAGGACAGAGCGCTTGCCAAGGTCTCAACATACCTCCTGCCTTCTGTGAAGTTTGCTTCATGGGGAGGAAAAGAATCGTGTAAATGAGTGGAAAATGGAGGACCAGAGGAGAAAGGCTGCAGGGAAGAGGACGGGATGAAGTGCGACAGGAGAATGACTGGGGAGGAATTCTACAGTGGACCGGGCACGGGAGCTCTTCAGTTAGTCTTGAGAGACATGGCCGTGAGTGGGCCGTGCAGGGAAGAGTAGCAAGCATAGGCCCAGCTTTCAGGAGCAGCTCCAGGCACACGTGGTGAGCCAAACACTGCTCTCCTAAGTACCTGAGCTGCTAAGCACCCATACTACCAAGTACCCGATCCACCCAGCAACCATCCCACCAAGCTCCTGTTTCACCCAGCACTCCACCTACCAACCACCTAGGTCACTCCTAGCAGGCTCTGCCCATAGGTGAGGTGAAGTGCCCAAAACAAAAGATTTGAGGAACATATTGCCCCACTTCGGGTTTTGACTTCTGGGGCCTTGCTCAACACTGTGGGGTGGGGTGGGGTGTTTCAGTCATCAGGCCTTCCTAATCTGGCTGTTGACAGACTCATCCCCACAAACTAAGAGGAAAATGTCCAACAACCCAGGCAGCTTTCCAGAACACATCTCTGCTTCCCTGGGGTGCTGCCTTAGGGGCTCTGCCTCTCCAGCACTTGCTTAAGGAGGATACAAATCTTAATGGCGAGATGGGTTCTCGTCAAGAGAATACCCTGCTGCAAGCACCCAGGCCACAAGGCAGACTATCACTGCTTCCTGTACCTCCCCGAGAGTGGAGCACAGCAGCCCTGGCTTGGCGGAGGCTACTTTTGTGTGTTTTGACAGGAATGCAATAAGCATTCTTGGTGCTTTGCCTCCATGTAACACCGTGTTCTGTGACTTACGCTGCCGCCTGTGTGTGCTTTCCTTCTCATTACTTCAGACTATTTCTGCTGTACACATTTATCTTCCCTGTACGTCAGGAACATGTAGGTTCTGTCAAGTGTGAGGCTCTTCGGGGCAGTACTGTAGGCGAGCATACGCTGAAGTTGATCAAGTCCTGTCTTGTCCCGGCAGCAAAGAGTGCGGGGGATCTTGAATCGGTTTCTCATCGCAGCCTTTTTGGGGGGATCATGACCAGTACTTCACTGTGGCCTGAGTTTGACTAATGCAAATGAGAAACAGTGTGTTTTGGAGTGTCTCTTCTGAGATAACCTATTCAAGTGTTTTGCCAGTTGTTTTGTTGGGTTTCTTATATTTCCAACGATTCATTTAAAAATAGGCTCCGGACTGGTGAGATGGCTCAAAGGTGAAGGTGCCTCCTGCCAAGCCTGATGACCCGAGTTCGAGCTCTGGGTTCCACGTGGTGGATGGAGAGGACCAACTCTCACAAGCTGTTCTCTGAGCTACACAAAGATATGCAAATATATATTTTTTTAACGGGCTTGGTAGAGCTCATGCCCAGCATGGGTAAACCCCTCGGTTCCATCTCCCACGTGCCCCTCCCAGTAAAAACCATTATGTAGTCATGGGCCAAAAACACTTAAAGGGGTTTTTTAATGCCAGTAAGCACATGAAGAAAATGTCCAACCTCATTAGCCATCTGAGAAACTCAAGCCCAGTGCAGTGGGAGTCCATCACTCCAGCCAGATGGCAATAACGAAGACAACAAATAGATGCTGGTGAGGGTGTGGACAACAAACCTGACCTGCGGTAATGGTGCATACCTTTAATCCCAGCACTCTAAAAGCAGAGTCTGAAGCCAATGTGGTCTACAGAGAGAGTTCCTGGACAGCCAGGGCTACCCAGAGAAACCTTGTCTCAAAAAAGAATAAATAAATAAACAAAAAGCTTAGTTCAGATTCGAAGAACATTTGCTGACGGAGCCTGCCCCAGAAACTGCATCTCTTTCCTGCTGGCATTTCTAAGAGGACATTGTTTTTTACTTCAGAGGTTCCTGGCTTTCAGAGTGGCTCACAGGACCAAGAGGAGGGGCCTGTCACTCTCCCTTTTCTTGTGAAAGACTTGGTAATGGATCCAAAGGGTGGGCACACGGGGGAGGAAAACGCCCTTTCCTTCTTCCCCCTAAACTCTGGACTGGAGCCCTGGAACAAAGACAGACTGCCAGGAGAAAAACAGGCAGGCATTTACCTCCATACACTTCACTGGACACATGGAGGAAGCCCATGAAAGGCTTCAAATCCAGCCCCTCTAACACTGTCAACCAAGAATACATCTGCCAAGAGCAGGATGAAGCAGGTTTAGGGTTCGCGGCAGCGGATCTAGCAGGTCAATTATATTCTCAGCATTTCACAGGATGCTCCTTTGCCCTCTCCTGGGTGAAGGAGGCTGAAGTCTCCAGTCAGAGCTGGGGAGGCAGAGAAAGCTTTCCCATAACTTTTGGCTCACTTGGAGTTAGAGGTGCATTTTGGGGTGACATGTTCTGATTTCTCTGAAGTATCTTAGGAAAGCAGTAGGCCTGTCTGGCATTCCTTACTGGGTCCCTGGTTCTGTGAAGTCCTGTCTTTAAGTTCTCTGTAACTAAAGACTGTTAGTGCAATGATTCTTATCATTTCTTACATATTCTGTGGCTCTTCTTAGATAGGGTTTCATTCTGTATCCTAAGCGCTGGGATTATGTTAGGGAGCCACATTACTGGCTGCCAATGTTTCTTGGCCACGGACATCAGACAGAAAGATGAATCTGTTATGTACAAGTTTAGCTGACTTCTCCCTCCCCTGAAAGCCATTTTCTGTTTATTAAGCAGACCATCTTGGCATTCCTGATGACCTACATGTGTCTGCCTTCTAGATTCACCTCTGAGCCACTGCAAACTGCCTGTCTGTCTTCTAGATTCATCTCTGAGCCACTGCACACTGCCCGTCTGCCTTCTAGATTCGCCTCTGAGCCACTGCACACTGCCCGTCTGTCTTCTAGATTCGCCTCTGAGCCACTGCATGACTTTTCCTGGCCAGACATGAACAAGCATCTGTTCATCTAGATAGTGCACCAACCCCAGACCAAAGAAATGACTCTGTCGGTGGCTGTGGGGAGACACAATCCAACAGCCACCAGCAGCCCCAGGTTCCCTTCCTGTTTGGGGCTTTCAACGCAAGGATCCTAGACTTGGCTGTGGGAAAGAATTTCAGGATGAGCCAAACACAAGTCAAATTAGTGAGTTTATTAAGTATTGAGACAGTCACAGAAGAGAAGCATAGTACACAATCTCAGGACAGGTGTGCGGGCTTCTCCAGAAAATCATGCTTAGGTGTCTCCACAATGGCCACACTTATAAACCTTCAGTCTTTTAAGTTATATTCCTCAAAAGATATAGTTTACAAAGTTTCAAGATTAAGAAAAGGTTAAAATTTAGTAAAGGGTTGAGATGACCTGGAACTTCAGCTCCTCTCACCTTCACTTTCCAAGTGAAGGAATTACAGGCATGAGCCATCACAACCACCACCATTCCCAGGCTTCTACAGTACTGGGGAGGGAACCCAAGGCTTCACGGGAAGTTTGAGGTTAGCCTGTGCTACGTGAGATCCTACCTCAAAAAACATAGACAAACACCGTAAATGTTAAGTAAAATATATGAGTTGGTAACTTTTTAAACATTTATTTTTATGTATATGAGTGTTTTGGATGCATGTGTGTGTGTGTGTGTGTGTGTGTGTGTACCATGTGCCCTCAAAGGTCAGAAGGCGGTGTCAAACTCCCTGAACTGGAGTACAGACGGTTTGTGAGCTGTCATATGAGTGCTGGGACCAAACCTAGGTCTTCTGCAAAAGCAGCCAGTGCTATTAACACTAAGCCATCTCTCCAGCCAGCTCCAAGGTTAATTATATTTTAATCTCATGTGCGTATGTGTATGTGTGCGTGCAAGCGTGCTCAAGCTTTTGTTATTCAGCTAGGCTGGATATTTAAGGTCACGGTCACAAACAACCCAGCCATGAGTGTGCACAGTTTATTTCCTGTTTTTCACATCCTGTCTGCGTTGTCTGAAGGAAAGCACACCATCTCTGTAGGCAGTGTTGGCTTTATCAATCACGCTGATGTTTCTTGACTCTCAGTCAACAGGAAAGTTCAACTAGACCCCAGGGCGGGGGGTGGGGTGGGGGTGGGGTTCTTTCCTTTCCCATGTCCCTTGATGTCCCTGTCTTTCTATTCAAGTCCCTTTCAGTGAACTGATGAGTTCACTGGGGTTACCAACAAGTGCATGCGTGATGGGTTACTTACAGGGGTACGGGTGACTGAGGTGGCACCTACACTGAAACGTTCACCCTAGCATGGGAAAACACGGTGGAAGGCTGCCTCACTGGAGCCCCTGACACAGCCTGCAAGGCTCCAGAAAGTCTCCTCTGGCCAGCAACAGTGTACTGCCTATATGATCTGGGGGGCTTCCTAGGTCTTGTGAGTTTCCTGAATCTTCCTTTCCCTCTAAGAGCAAATGATCTCCACTGAGGAAATTGCTACACAGGGCAGGCCGAGCAAGAGTTGACTGAAAGCTGGGCATCATCTTGAATATACAGATGTACAAGATAAAACCATAAAGGGGGCTGGAGAAACCAGCTAGTCTGTTAAGAGCACTGGTTGCCCTTCCAGAAGATCTGGGTTTGATTTCCTAGCACCCATAAGGCAATTCAAATGGTTAACGCCAGTTCTAGGGTTTCTAATGCCCTCTTCTGGCCTCCTCAAGCACTGAATGCATGTGGTGCACAGATATAAACGGAGGCGAAATACCCATAGACATAAAAATAAAGTTAAATTTTAAAAAGATATAACCATAAAAACTTGAACGAAACTATGCATTTTTTTTTCGAGATGGCATTACTACGTAGTCTAGAATGGTCTCAAACTCAGGATCCTCCTGCCCCAGTCTTACTAGTGCTGGGATGTAGATGTGCGCCTAGCCTTAAACGCTGTACTTTTGGGGAAGTTAACTTAATGCACCCTTACTTCCAAAAGTCAGGCTCGAATGACAATTTCTGGACGCGGGGACGGGAAACTCCGCGAAGATGGGCTAGATCCCTGCGCTTTCATTATAGCCTTTTCCAATCTTAGAGCACATCCCACCAGTTTAACTACCAAACACTTCTGTGCCCTGAACAAACTGTGTAACAAACGGTGCCAAGTCTGTCAGGGGACCCAAGGGGATAAAACACACGTTTCTACCTCTGCAAATCTCAGGGCCGTCATCAGGAAGGGGTTGCAACGATGCTCCAGCAACCAGAGCGTGGAGCTGTGCAGGCCCGAACCCAGGCGCACCGTCCCCAGTCCAGGGCACTTCCACGGGCACCCAAACGCCCTCTGGGTCAGCGGTTTACACTCCCGTGTGTTCGTCCTCCATCTCTGTAGTTCTCCATCCTCCACCTGGCACAGGCCAGTCTTGAGAGAGGATCTGAGTCTCCACTTGCTAGATCTATGATGCCATGGGAAACGTTTTCACGCGAAGTCGCACGAATTGCGACGCAGCGTGGCCCTCGCGGCGGCCCGTAGGCGCCGGCTTTTCTCTTCCGGGACACCTTTCTCGGAGATCTTGGTTCAGCAGTCTTGTCGTAAGTGCTGTCTCTTCTCCAAGAACAGCTAGGTTTTTGGAAGATCGGTAGCGGGAGAAACCGCCAGTGTCCTCACGAACCTTCTCCCGGAAGCCCCGGGTGTCGCGGCCGGAAGTACGCAGAAGCTGCGCCTTGACCTCGCCGTGTCCAGTTCCGGGGTCGTTCCACTCCGCTGTCCAGGCCGTGGCGTTGGGCTCCCGCTTCTGCTGGGCTGCTGCCTCCGGTATACCGGCCCGGCCGGACCGAGCCGAGCGGAACCGAGCGGATCCGGGTCCACCCGGCCCGGCCATGAGCGCGGTCGCATGATGCGTCGCCACCCGCGCCGCTGCAGCCGCCGGCCGCGAGGAGCCGCCGCACTGGGCGACCCCGCCCGGGCCTCGGGTGAGTGCAGTGCGTACGGCGCTCGGACCTCGACCCCAGGCTGTTCCCCGCGGCTTCCTCGCCGCAGTCCCCTTGGGGGTCTCCTCCCTTCTTTGCCGATCCCGCAAATCGGACCCGGTTTGCACCCGCAGCCTTTCTCCTGACCTTGGGTGCGACACCCCGCTCCGGAGCCCAGTGTTCTCCGTGGCTAATGTCAGAGTTGTCATAAAGTCCTGTCACCCGTCAGTGAGCTGTTAAGTTTTCGTAGGCATGCTTCGTCGCACGTCTGTCTTCTCCAATCCTATCCCTCCCCCCTTTAACGGGGCTCTCATTCTTTGTAGGTCCCCCCCCCCCCCCAGCCCCTGTCCATGGTGTTAAGGGAGTAGTTACCCGGGAAGGGCATCTAGGACAAACAGGCTAGCTTTCAGGGTAATAAGGTTCAACTCTTCTGCGCTGTCATCACTTCTAGAACTAAGTCCCCTCTAGCTATTAAATAGGCGCATTTTATTAGCTCGTGAACAACCAGTTTATTGTGGCAATTAAACTGGAGTAATGAAAGCCGCAGCTGAGGCCTCTATAGCGGCTTTCACAGTTGTGTTTGGCGCAGCCCAAACCCAAGCTACAGTCTCCTTCTCAGTCCTCTTGTTGACTGCATTTGTGCTTATTTTACTGGCTCGGACAGCGGGTCATCTCCATTCCTTCCCACATCTTTCCCAGCTGCGCCTCAGGACAATGATATTTCCTATGTTGTTTACAACTCTCACTTACCTAAAGTTATGCTTTTAAAAGATACCTTGTTAAACTTGCACTTGCCACAGAATTGGTTGGCATGGAAGGCTCTTGGGGTATTTTACAAAATGGGCTAATGGGAGTGTGAACAAAATTTCATTTTTTGAAGGTTGCATAAGATAGACAGGCTGGAGGTATGGAACTTGGGTTGTGTACTTTGTAGAGTCACTGGCTTCTGAATTGAGAGCAGGAGAGGACAACAGTGAGTGAAGAGGAAATTTCCCTCGGAATTTGTTCCCTACCATTGACTCAGGTGTCAAATTAGAACTCTTCAGCTGGACATAGTGGGCGCTCACCTTTAGTCCTGGCACTTGAGAGGCAGAGGCAGGCGGATCTCTATGAGTCTGAGGCCAGTCTGGTGTACGAGCGAGTTCTAGGACAGCCATGGCTACACAGAGAAACCCTCTCTCGAAAAACAAAAATAAAAACTCAAATTAGAACTCTGTAGCCCTGCTAATTGTCCTGCCTTAAAGCCAAGTCCTTTCCAAGAATGGAAAAGTAGGCATGTGTAGCCCCCAGCATCCAAGACTTAGAGGCAGAGATGAGAGGATCAAAAGTTTGGGTCTACCTCAAGCAAAACAAAGCATGATGGAAAAATATTAGTGTTACGGGAATGGCCCTTGGTCCAAAAGTCTATGTGAAGCTTTAAGAGTGATTTTGACAAGTCAAAAGTATGGACGGGATTTTATATTCTTAATGAAATTATTACTTGCTTGCTTGAACTTGAGTGATGTAAAACAACATGATAACAATAATAACCCGAGGGAATGAGACTAGAAGTTAGTCCCTACTAAAGTAACGTCTGCAGTGCAGTGGACGTGGTTTTGCTGTCCACTCCAGCACGCCTAGCTTCAGTCCCCACTGGGCAACGACATGGGATGGTTTTCTTTTGTTTGTTTGTTTGTTTTTCCCCGAGACAGGCTGTCCTGGCTCTTGCTCTGTAGACCAGGCTGACCCGTCTCACAGAGATCCGCCTGCCTCTGCCTCCCGAGCACTGGGATTAAAGGTGTGCGCCACTACTGCCTGGCATGTGATAATTTTCTAAAGGTAGCTTTTGAGGGACATTTCTTAAAAGTAACTCTTTGATCATAAAAGTGACATGTTTTTAAAACAATTTATTTTATGTGCGTGCATGCGTGGTGTGTGTATCTACCCCATGTGTGCATGCAGGTGCCTGCAGAGGCCAGAAGAGAGCATCAGATACCATGGAGCTGGAGTTACAGGCAGTTGTGAGTGACTAATGGTGGGTGTTGGGAACTGAGCTCAAGTCCTCTGCAAGAGTAGCATGTGCTCTTACCACTGAGCCGTCTCTCCAGCCTGTACACACTTTCTAAAGAAAATCAAAACTCATCTCAAGGGCAGGGTGAACACTGACACCTTACCGTGGGAGTAACAGCTGAGGAGAGTTTAAGTCCACTGTGAATATTGCTGAGTTACAAAATTTAGGGGAACAGCCCTGCCTTTACACACTGCACGTTGGGGTAGTGTTTTCCAAAACCACCCACTTGGTCATGGTTCATAGGAAGGACTCAGCTCGCTGAGGGAGATAATGCTCAGTTGGTTTATTATAGGAAAGGCTGCAAATTAAAGTTAGCCAAGAGAAAAGAATGGAACCCAGGGAAGTCTCAAATATCAGCATCTACCCTCCTCTGTGGTCCCCGGCTCCCTGATATTGCTGGATGACATTGCTAACCCAGGCCTCCTCTGATGAGGGGTATGATTGGTTAGTGGAGCAGTGGGCAGCCTTCCTTCCAGTTGGATGGACCCTGTGACAGCCAGAGCCTCACAGGACATCACATTGTTAGGTTTTTGTTTTAACTCTTCCTACTTGAAAATGTAGCTCTTTGCTTTATAACTAATGGCTGCCCTTCTAAATCATGGAGGAGGCAAAGGTCAGTGGGAGAGCTGTCAATTCCAGCTCCCTTCTATCTAAAAAAGTCTCTGGAGTAGGGTGTGGTAGTGTGACTGTTGTCTTGGCTCCAGAGCCTGAGACAGGATTGCCTGGGCCCAGGAGTTTGAGCTAGCCTGAGCAACACAGCAGGTCTTGGTCTGGCTTCTTGGTTCCCTGTGCTCCGTTTTTGCTGCTGTCTGCAAAGACTTGTCTTGCTGCTCCAAGCCCTGCTTACTGCTGAACTCCATTCCTGTAAACATGTCATAGAATTCTGCTGCTTCTTGAATGACGTCCAGACTGTGTACTATGTCTTACTGGCACAGCACCTGGTCATTTAAAAATACTGTATTCAATCATGGCTTGAAGATGGTGAATGAAAATCAGTGAATGAACACTCATGCTAGGCAGAGAGAATGACTGTGAATTTTAATTGGAGGAAGGAGCAGAAGCCCAGAGGAGTACCTTGTGGGAGAAGTGGAAGGACTGAGCCTTGACAAATCTGAAGGAGAGTTCAGTAAAGCAGTCGTGGAGGAATAGGGACCAGATGGATTTGGGGAATGGAACTGAGATTTTGAGTTATAATTGAGATCTTGCTCTGGGCTCCTTGTCATCTCTGGGGAAAGAATTCAGATGAGACATATTATAGTGCCATTATGGAGGGAAATGCAGTGTGACAATGACCAGAGAGCTGGTCACGCTGTCCCACATGTTTAGGCAGGCTTTCATGCTATGCTCCTAAAGTCTCTGGGACACACAGCTTTCCTGAGAGGTGCCTTCCTGTGCAGGTGATTGACAGGCCAGTGGATTAATCCTTAAGGGACAGGCAAGGTTCATCTTCAATCTTTACCAGGAAGCTAGGTAGAAATCCTAGGATCTTTCTGGCAGTTCAGAAAGTCCTGTCTCCACCCAGGGCCAGTGATAACAACTCAGATCCCATCCTACTAGATCTGAGTCCTGCAGCTTCAGCTCCTGGTTTCCCAAGTTGCTGATTGTGAAGGGTGGGTCTGTCCTCAGTGGCCTTTGAACCTCCTAACTAGCCAACTAATGCAGAGATGCCCAGAGGCTTGAGTTCCATAGGATGAGGACTATCTTCACGGACATCATGGAGGGGTAGTGACAGACATGGGCCAGAGCCATAAGTAGTCGTGTCCTCTGGCATATAGGAGAGCAGATTCATTATGCATGACGTTGAAAGCCTCTGAGGAAATCTTGGCTGTTTGAAGAAGTCAGGCTCGATGCTTAGAGCACAGCGGGGAGGGGCCCCAGCTAGAGAAGTGTCAATCTCCCTGGAGACAAACTTTCTAAGTGTCATCGAGATGTTTTGAATTTTCAGATTTCTGCTGTTCCTTAGAGTGCTCTTTCTCAACCCTGGGCTCTGGAGGGAGTGTATGCCAGCAGAAGAACACAGTGGAGGCAGAGTAGCCCCGTCCCCATATTCACAGGGTGTATTCGAATCACTCATCTCTAAGACTTGGCTCCTCATTTAGCAGCAGCTCTCTGTGTTTAGTGAGCTGCATCAACACTGTCTGCCTCGAGCACCCTCCCTGCCCCACTTTTTCTCCCAGCCTCAAGCATCTTCCCTGTTCCCATCCCCCAACCAATCCAACAACATGCAGTGTACACCTTGCTTTTCCATTTCACTCACCCAGTGTTGGGCAGTATAGAGATTATGCTCAAGAGCCACCCTGGTGAGGATGTGGGAAACAAGCAACAAGGGAGAAGCCAGCCAGAGGGGATGTGTACCCACTCTGGGTGACTGTGACTGCAGCCTGTGGAGGGTGTGTGCACAGGAGAGTACGAAACCGACCTGGCCCAGTCCGCGAAGGGTTGCACTGAGTGCAAGTGGGCATGTCAGTCAGGTAAATAGAGGCACTGAGTCTACAAGGGAACTGGTTGGAGGCAAGCTGAGTGCACAGTGCCAGGATCTAGGTGGGCAGGGGAGGTGGAGATGTGGTCAGGTTGGGGGCGGTTCTGGAGGTCAAGACCCCAGCAATTGCTCGTGGCTTAGATGTGGGAACTGGAGGAAGAGGCCAGTGAAGGTGAGTTCTTAGCATTTGACCTTGGTGGCTAGATGGTGTAGTGTGTATTGAAATGGAAAGGGGTGAGCTTTTAACAGTGGAGGTTCTGCTCCCACCCTCCTGCAGGAGAATGTGCTAGTAGTCAGTTGATTAGGCAATGATGTCTCCAGTATGGGTATTTTCTAGATTCAGTTCCTCTTTCCAACTCCCTGGGCCTGTGATTCCCCAAGACATCACCTCAGAGAGCGTGGAAGTAAAGAAGTCAGGACCCTAGCTAGGCAGTAGTGGCACACGTCTTTAATCCCAGCACTCCGGAGGCAGAGGCAGGCAGATCTTTGTGAGTTAGAGGCTAGCCTGGTCTACAAAGCAAGTTCTGAGACAGTAAGGGCTGTTACACATAGAAACCCTGCCTTTAATAACCAAAACATAAAGAAAATAAATAAAAATTTAAAAAAAGAAGTCAAGCCCTGTCTTGGGTGCTCCCCAGTTGGAGACCTGTGGGCAGGAGTGGCTGCTGAGGGGAAAGCCCAGGGGTGCCTTCCATCCTCCTACTGCCCTGCTTCCGTGTCTGTGCTCTCCACTTGCAACCTTTGTGACCTGCAGTGTTCCCGGAGGTG